TAGCATCAAGATGTGTTTCAGACAAACAAATTATATCATATTCACCTGCAAGATTTTCTATATATTCAATTTTGTTTCTAACACTTCTAATATTTAAATGAAAAATTGAGAGTTCACCAGACCCCGGGCCAGGATTGGATTCAACGTCCATATGTTGTAACAGAAGTAATATTAATATAAACAGAAACTCTACATTGTTTACATTGGAATATAAAACAAAATTTACTAGGCATATAAAATGTTTAAAAAGTTGTGAGAGAACACCTTTTAAACGCGAAAAAGTAAAACGATAGAGGAACGAATATGATTTTTTTTAAAAACATGTACCATAGGCTCTGGAGTAAAATGTACCAATAGCCACTCTGTGTGACATATAATCGTTACCCATTATCAAAGACTTGATAGACAAGCATAAAAGAGTGGCATATTGGATTTAGCAGAGAGAAATAAGGAAATATCCAGCAGAAGATCATGAACACTATATACATATTAGAAAAACAAACAAATAAATACAATTGTGGAATATCAAATTCCAACCGTAAAGACATCAAGGTTGATTTGTGAGTTAAATTTGGAATGATTGTGGTGGGGGATCCACATTTTAATATAAGGACCGATGCAATCGAAATGACGAAAAAAAAAAACAAAAAAAGAACCAAGGAGAAAAGAAATATAACTTGGGAATACTAAAATTTCATAGAAATAAATTTCGATAGATTGACGATTTCAATAGTTTGTCAATATAAAACAGTCTAGGGAGAAACAATCCAATACAGACGGCACAAGTGATACACTGTCCTACTGTTCTCTAAACCATCAACTTATCTAATGTCACTGACATCCCGTCCTGTGAAATCCTGCTCCTGGTCATTCCTTCCTTTCTGACAAAAAGTTTCCACTAGGCCGTCCATGTTGGAAATAACTCCCGTGCGACTTTACATAAAAACTAGTATCAAGATCATACTATGTATATAACCAGATTCATAAATTCTTTATCGACAAAACATACATAAATACAATGTATTATCAAAACGTATTTACATAATTGTTATATGTGCCTACCTAACAACACCGATGTATCCCGAATCAACATAACACTATATAGATATGACCTACATATTTAGCTATACACTTACATGTATGTACAAGTACATAACGAAAGACATGTAAAGATACCCAACGACACTCACTTGTTCAGACACACAGCGACACCTACATGTACATATACACAACGATATCAACATGTACATATACACAACTACACCCACATGTACATATACACAACGATACCCACAGGTACACAACGATACCCACATGTACATATACACAATGACACCCACATGTACATATACACAACGATACCCTCATGTACATATACACAATGACACCCACATGTACATATACACAACGATACCCACATGTACATATACACAATGATATTCACCGTCTCCAAGATATAACGCTATCTAATGTAATTTGTGTGTGATATATAATACGTCATTGTAATCATTATATACTTTATAACATTTTATACAACTTTTTCGGTATGTTATAGTTATTACACGTATTTTACAACGTAAACAGCAGGCTGTAAGGAGGCAGTACCCAAATCGGATCAGTACCCAAATCGGATCAGTACCCAAATCGGATAACCTTTTTGCAAAAGTACTTATAAATAAATAAATGTGTCAACAAATCAGTTATAAAAATGATGTAGTCTTAGAATAGATAGCCATGTACCATTTTTTTTTGTCTAGAGATATTTAGTTTTTAAGTTCAAATAGCACAAGAAAACGTAATTCAAACTCAAATGTCATTGTTTTTATCACGTTTTTTAAAAAAAAATGGCGCGTGCGACGACTATGCATTCTGTTTTGGACTATAGGAATAAATTCACACTATAGAAATACTTTTTGTCATATAAATTCTAAAGGTCATCATAAAATGTTAATATGCTGACAAAAAAAATATCCTTTGAAGCGTACGATACTGTAAAATTCAAGCCTTGATCCGATTCGGGTCCTGACATTCGCAAAAACCGGAGACACTAATTGGTGACTTCGGAGCGTTCTATAAATATATCAAGGGAGTCCAGGGTGCTAATTTCGTTAGTAAGAACACCCATCAATATTCTTCATTTGATACAACCATAAATGAATACAATTCCTCCTCAGAGTTTTCAATGATTTAATAAAATGATGGCTTGGAGATCCGATTGGGGAGATTGACGTTCCTGGTGTCATGACTCTAGATTTATTTATATGGAGAATTTATTCTCTCAATTTTTTTTCTGAAAAAAGGGCTAAGTAAGGAAGGTACCAAATGTGAATTAGCTGCTATTTGTTATACTGCAAACAAAATGAAACTTCCGATAAAGTTGACGTGCGAGTAGATAGTTCATTAGTTGCAGAACATATAGCTAGCAGATGTACCATCGTGGACGTGGTTCTATCCTGGATCCATTATATATGTCCGTGTGACTTTATTTATGTAATGTGTTTATTGCTTATTTTATTTGTAGACTTATGAATGATTTTTTTTTTTAATAAAGTTTAATTCTTAAATAACCGTCGTTTTTTTCATATGCAGACACGGAAGGTCAAATGTCAATACAAATATTATGTTAAAATGTTAAAACAGTACTTTATTTAACGTAACTGTCCTCTGTAATAAATTGAAACTTTGGTTGTTTAATATGTGTGTTTCAGTAAAATTATCTCGATCACGTTTCTCGTCCAGTTTTTTGGCGATTCTTGCGGTGTTCGGTATTGTTAATATGTCATTCGTAGAAGTACAATGTAAAAAAGTCAGTTTTCTAGCACACATGCTTAGGGAACTTTTTCACTTGTTAGGTTTGAAGCTTGATGATGTGATTAATTATTTCGAAATTGTTCAACATTTACGTAAATTCAACATTTACGTACATCATCCAACTATTGGAAATAAATAAAACTATTGGATCCAAGGACTTGGACTTAATATAATTCCGTGGTACATCACAGTACTGCGTCTGTTGATTTGTATAAAAGTATCTAAACCCTGAATCAAATCGGGAACTTCAGAAGTTTAAAGCTTGATTGATTTGCAATTGTTGTTTTCCAACCATTTTGTAAAACACCATGCGCTTGATCGTTGGTAAAATCTTTTCTGACCAGTATGTCTCCATACCTGTTCTTTACGACTCATCGATTTTTTGTGAGATATTAATAAAGTTTTATAATAAATAACAATTCAACAAAGCTTCTTTGCGTTATTCTGTTATAGAATATACATAATTGGCCATTTTAGGACCACCATCTTTCTCATAAGTGCATAGAAACTCGAAAATAATGCACCCCCTCCAACCCCACTGTTTACTATACTGCTCAATAAATACGTTTTCATTTTTAAAGAAATACGGATAATCATAAACATATTGTTAAATGTAAGTGATATATCAATTCGTGGAATTAGATTAGATCTAAGTCCGTGACTAATTTAAGTAAAAAAGACTAAGTTATATATTAATTTAAGTAAAAATTAAAACGTATTTATTCTGGTGCAAATGTTTAAATATAAAGTAATATAATTGTCAACGTAATTGATTATACCATCACAGTAAGTCAGTGAAACAATGCTTATACAGCAAATGATCCGGGCTGACCGTTTTCAGCTTATACGATCAGAGTCCTGCATACATGTACACTTTCTAGATTAATTTAGAACTAAAGACGGGGATTAGTTTGAAGACGCTTCATGATCTGTAGAGTTCTATACACACACGTGTGCCACGCAACAGATAGTAAACATTCAATTCATCATAAATCGGTAATTTGTTCAAATATTTTGGAATATAGGTACATCCAAGTCATATAAATAACATATATTCTGATTTTATTTACTTTATTAAGCATTTTCAATAATTTTGTCTGGCGACGATTTGTTAACTGTACAGTTTAACGCAAACATGTGCCACGTCGACGATCGTAAAATTCAATTCATCATAACTCGGTAAATATTTCAATTATCTAATTGAAATTTGGTGCATTATAGTGATATAAACAACACATCTTCTGCTGACGCTTACTTAGGCTTCATTTGGTATCTTTTAAGATTTTGTCTGGCGACGCTTGTTGTCGGTTGAAGACGCTTAATTTTGAGGGTGACCACAAGAAAGTACAAGGATTTATAGTTGATTGGTGAAGTTATGTGAAGGATGGAGGGTTTATGCCAATGGCCGCCCATATACCTCTGTGACTTAACAAAGTTTTGTTTAGGTAGCAGCGGATCCCGGAAAACCCAAATGCTGAGAAGTATTTAAACTCATATAAAACAGTAAATGCCCGAGTATTTTACCAATAATTGGATGAGGCAACAATCAAGTACTGTCTATTTAGGTCGCAATGTACACCATCTCAGGGATGTGTAGTGGACTACACATCCCTGACCATTTCAAAGAGTATAGGACACAGACCATGGGGTATGTGTGTGTGTGTGTGTGTGTGGCGAAGACATCAGGATGAACAAAACAACAGAGATCTCAATTTTAATTAAAGAATTTTCAAGAACCAAGAATTGCGTTCAAATTAGCCAAAACGACTGAACACGCGGCAGTAATAAAAAAACTAATGTGCACCTAGCGATGACATAGCTCCTTACGACCAGACGATTTTTATGTATGGCCCAACCATAAACAAATCCTATGGCATACAGACATATAAACTGATATACATGGACGATTGCAATGTCTGATGATGACTAATCTGTAACACATCACAGAGAACATCCTATCGTTACTAATTATAACAACAAACAACTTCTACATTCTGAATTTTAGAGAACAGCGTCCCTGATAACAGATACCGCCAGTATCGTGTACACGTGTGTAATGGGAAACCGGAAGTGACTCTAAAAATCCAATATGGCGGCTTTATGTTGATTCTTGTTTAGCTCATACGGAGCGATTATGGTACGACCGTCTCCATTGCGCGCGCAACCGGTACTTGTCATTAAAGGCGGCCATTTAACTGTTGGACTGAGATTGAATTCGGGGTTTTGGTTAGAGCCGACACTACACATGGTAAGCCAAAGTATACGTTTACAAACCAAATCCGGTCAACGGCTTCAAATTTCGATCATTTTAGGCCACTGTTAAGGACTTTAGTACGTACCACATCTACAGCGGAAGTTGGCAATAGGCCTATATTGGGGATGGACTTCAGCGGAACATGAGGTAACTATATACTTAAGATAAGAGACAATGTATTATGTTATATGACGTGAGATGGTCTATATGGAGCGAGTGATGAATGGGCAACGGACATTCAGTGACCGTTTTTTAGCCCTTAAGGTAGAAATTACCGAATAATCAAATTAGAGCAAAATAAAACGGCCAGTCAGTTGGGTTCTATAGACGTATCAACCCATCCAAGATGGCGGCACGGGTCAGAGGTCACAATGTAAACAAATGACAGTTCAACATGAGACCGGCCTCGCATGAGACATGAATTAGATTAAGATTTACACTTATTTTTTGTATTGAACGTTATATATACTTTATAGACAACGGATCCTAATGATCAGAATCTAACTTTAGATGATTTTATTACATGGAAACTTCCCGATTTACGTCATTTTTTTTACCAAGCGCGGTTTGTCAAAAGACGGAAGCAAGAAATGGCTGTCGGCATAATGTTTTGGTGCATTTACGATTAAGCTACCACTTGTCCAAACCACGGAATTAAATTAAGTCCGTGTCCAAACTGATGTCTGTATTTTAAAACAAAATCAGGAAGATTACTTTAATTTGGTAGATGTAGACGATGGACATACCGGACCCATTGTTATTACACACTGGGTGGGTCGAGGAGAAACTGGGACCGTTTATATATGTACAGACTATTCTAAATGATTACAAAATCGGAAAGGCTTATGAGTATTTTCAGTCTGGTCACTTTCAGGAAGTTTACTACCATTCCATATCAACTGCATCGGCTGTATTTTGTCGGCCAAATGTACACCGTGTTGTCACAGAAAGTGAAGGGCGACTCACATACAGTGTGGGTTTGCTGTTGCAAGGAAAATCGAGCAGTAAAATCGGCTATGAAACCAAGACAACTTGATACCTGTAGGTGATTGTGTAATGTTTAAATGAAAGCATTAGTTAACATTCTATTTATCTTTTTGAATGCAAACTAAATGCTAAACAGCGAGTCATACCCTAATATGGACAATATAAATATATAAATTTTCTAAAAATATATTAGTTAGCTATGAAAACTATTTTAATTAGTGATAAATAATATAAAGTACTGCTTATAGATATTGTCCTGTACATAACACTCTTGTCAATTATGTGTAATAGACTGGGCACATTCAAATATCAAGGAAACAGTTTTATGGTTTAAAAATATATCAATTATCTCCCTTAGACTAGGACATTAAATATGATTGTGATGACTCAATAAACAAAAGCAGGTTTCAGTCAAACTTGAAATTGACCTCAGTCTTAGTGTATTGTACATGCTCTTATAAGTTATCTTGTGACAAATATGGAACCTTTATTGTGCAATTTGTTGGAGTATAAAAAAATATCACCCAAATATAAAATCTATTGCCAGGGAACTGGGACCAGAGGCCTAACAATCCTACAAGAAAGAAATGTTGAAGTCTTTTTATAGTACAGTGTCCATTTCTTGACCAGAATCACTTTCATTTAGGAGCAAGTCCAGACCTGTTGGTCACTTGTTAGTCCTGTGGGGATGGTGTTGTAGAAATAAAATGTCTCCTTGTTACAAAATGTGCTAAGTGTTCAAGGCTCTGCTCTTGTAAGCTTCAAGTCTATTTATGGCTCTATATTTTTGGCAAATCTAAGGGCAGCTTTCCATCACAGGGAGAAAGGGTTGTGACTTTTATATGTAGCAAATTGTATACACATGTAATTATTTGGCAAACACACAGAAATGATTTTATTTGACAGCTCCCTACTATTTGCAAGTACTTGACAGCTTTATATTGTTTTATGTGAAGTTTGTAGTGCCTGAATTTTTTTCAATTAAGGCCTTTGAAAAATCAAAATGAAAAACACAGATCTGCCTGTCATGTCAGAGGCAATGGACATTGATCATGCCCCTGCTACAACACATTTCTGCCCTGTATGTAATTAAAAGCATGTAATCAAGGAAGGACACAGCAAGCATACAGAAATATGGGGATCAAAGCATTGGATGTGATTATTGTCATCTTTGGTATCACTTTGCATGTGTACAGATGAATAAGCTTGCATCATCACAGATTAGTAAATGGGCATGTCTAAAGTGCAGTGTTATTGGCAGAGTTTGAGAGTTTAAAGTACAGACTTTGCAAGTTAGGCAAAATATAAAAGCCTTGTTTAGGCCTAAAAATAAATATATGAGGTTAGATTTTGTATGCAAGTCGAAAATGTACAGTTGGTTTGACTGCCACATTATATTGCATGTATATATAATATATATATTATTATATTCTTGCTTAATTGATATTCAATAAGAACTCTTGATAGAATGTGCTTTATATTTTAACCATACTTGCACAATTTCATGTCCAAGTATTACCAATAACTCAATAAGGTTCAGATAGAGTATTGGGAGAGATGGATACAGTAGGTATTAAGATAATTGTAAATTTTCCTTTTTTTGGGCTGGAATATTAATAAAGACCTGTTCAGTTTCCATTTGCCTGATCAATCATCCGGAGAGCCAGGTCTCCGTGCTGGTCATATTTCTACTATTATCAGATCAACCGAACTATTGACACGATTGACCAGACACCACCCACGCACAGTTGTATGTCTGATAAGTGTTTCACACTATATTTAATTATTGGGGATCCTTAGAAATATTTGCAGTACATTGTAATTTGATCCTAGCAGTGTCAGTGTGCATATAGACCCTGAGAATGTCACTAATTTCATGTTCCAAATTTTGCACTTTTAATTACAAATTATTAAATATAAATACACATATGTATCACTGGATAAATGTTCTCTAAACAAAATATTGTGATACAGAGATACACATATCAATATATTATTACAGCCCTAAAATACCTGGTACTTTTGTTAAAGAAGAGTTGAAGCTTTGTGGATCTTAAGAGTAAAAGTTTGGCTCACATATATCAAAACTGGATTATATTTGACAACACAGTGCTAGGGCAGGTGAACTAGCGACTGATATAAACACAACATTAATTTGTAAACATTGAAAGTTTGGATGATCATGAAAAAGCAATAGTGGGATATATTGAGGAACAGGTTCTAGTGCTGCTGATAAAATTACTATTTACTTATACTTCGGTAGAGATGGATGCATATTACAACTTCCAGCAACCACTTTTACAATATCATCCAAGTGGTGCACAAGAGTAAGAGGTACCTCAAATTTGAGGATCCTGAAGGTTTTTATTCATCTGATTGCATGTTCAATGTAAATTCTCTGATTTGCAATGGCCTTTGTAAGATTCACTTCAGCTCTTGACATTTGAGAAGCTCTCCTACACCCTGGAGGAATAAACAGTTCTGCCCAACTCTTCTCGAATATAAACCCCCTATCTGCCATGACCGAATCATATCGTTCAAATATGTCAAGAAACCCAGAGTATGTAGTGATATGTTTGTCACTTGTTTGCCGCAAAATTGATGAGTCCAGAATTAATGCTGACAAGAAACTTTCCTGTGTTAAGGTGCTTGTAATTACTCCATGTCTGAGCAGCAAGTTCAAGATTGAATATAGCCATGCCCCCTTCAAATACTAAACTATTTTATTTCCCGATTCATTACCAATGCACAATTAACAGGGGTCGAGTCTTGGTCACACTAGTCCACTAGTCCTTGACTAGTTGATTTCAGCAAGGACCAGTGAATCACCGAACTGGACCTTTGGACTTGTGAAAAATATGATTATAAAATAACAATATTACTTTCTAAAATTTAGAAAAATGCTTTAAATATTGCATGATAATTGTCAAAAAAAATCCTTTAACTTAACCATATTTGTATGGCAGTAGTTATATTAAGTCTTCTTTTGATGTTTCATGCTGTAGATCACAATGTTTCCTGATCAGGAAACCTTATAGAACTTTACATTGACAAAGGACTAGTAAATAATCTTTTCAACTAGTCCTGTGGATTACCAAGCAAAAAAGTTAGTGTCCATCCCTGATTAATCTACAGAAAATACACATTTATACTTACTTTTTTATTTTTTATTTGTTATGTATCAGCTATTGTGAGATGCACTCATGTGGTTTTCCAAGTTATAACCAGTACAAAAATGACTTTCCAACATTGCTTGTCCAATAATACCCCTATACAGGCCCCAATGAAAATTTATATTTTACTCAAAAAAACTTGATGACGTTATTTATGACACAATCTGAGACAAGAAATTACATTAGCACAAGTTTGACAAGGCGTATAAACGATTCTTTTGTTATCGTTGAGAAACGATGAGGTTACATTAACGTTAATATTTGCCAAACGGAAAGTGGAAAAACGACATCATCGTCGTTTTTGACGTTAATTTTCAGGATGGCAAATTTAAAGAATGCTTTGAATTTTTTCCTGTATCGGCTGGAAAAGGTCAAAGTTAAGTATACCAGAAACAGGTTTAAAGATGATGTATCGGAGAAAGGAAAAATAATCAATTTGATTGACTTGTCCGATAAATACCCCGATCCACCAGTTACTGGGGAGAACTGAGGCATTCAAGACCTCGCTCCAGTCATCTTGCAGAGTGAATGTGGATCCTGTAATTAGTTTTAACTTTTTAACCAGTTTTTAACGAACTCGTGTGGAAGCCACGCCACACAAGTCTACCTGCAAGTTGATGCTGTTCGACGGCCCTTTGCAGTATAAATGTAAATGTAAACTGACACTCCCATCTGCGACCCTCCAACAAATTGCACGATCGCTGATTTATTATGGTGTAAGTGCCAAACATTGAAGATTTTCCCAAAAGAATAGATGTACCTGATTTCGTACTCGATGTTCGTATAATTTTTCAGTGTGGATATATCGTTTAAATAAAGAAATCGTAATCGTATCAAAGGACTCCTAATTGGCCGCCATGCAAGTTTTTGATAGTGCATAAGCGGTTTTTCCCCCATGACCTTTGACATAACACTTTGAGGCCGCTTAAGAAATTACGTGTTGATACGTCTATTGTTTAAACATACAGTCGTGTATTACATGTTAGT